AACATTAATTGAAAAACAATATGGTTTGCAGTCTTACTCTCTGAGCAGTGGATGGATCGGTAAGTATAGCGACCAATAGTCCAACGCTGACGTCCTCATGACTCGTAGCGCTTTTTATTGCCTTTAAATTCAATGCAAAACACAATTAAAGTGAGGCATAAAAGTGAGACTCGCTGTCAATGAGTGTCGACTTGACTTACGGTGGAAGTGAGCTCTTCGTGACCTTCTTTCTCGGATTTGCCATTAATTATGTTTTGGACGAATAGAAGACATCTCTCGTACTTCTGTTGGCGAGTAAATCAAATCAAATTAATCAACAATTAATTAAATATTAACGCTATTATCCATGAATGCAATCATGAGTTGCCATCTGTTGAGAGCAATCAACGCATTAATGGATGCCTTTGTTTAGCGTTATATGAATGGCTTATGCAATGAATGGATCAAAATATGGTGACTATCGGACCTCTTCCACCTCATCCTTGGCGTCGATGGGACTGAAGACGAATAGTTTATGACTGGAGTGTGTGTTTGTGTCCATTATATGGCTTTCCAGACACTAAATGGCGGCCAAAATGGGCGGCGAAGCGGTCGGGAGGAGGGATGGCATCACTCGCGACACACAAACAACAATTCAATGAATACTTCATTGGAAAGCAAACACTCATCGCATAGACGGCATAGACTCCACTCACACAAGCCATACACTATAGGCTGTACTCCCAATGCAAACCAATGCTATCATTGTTCACAAACACTACCCAAACGACATCTGCCGCACAACTCTCACATTACATATACTATACCCTCGTTATAATGAACACCACGTATTTCTGTGTACAATATAGTCTCTTATTTGCATATTGTAACCATGTTTGGCATCAAATTAAGGCACATTCATTTACAATTATATCATACATTGTGTATTGTATCATAGACTCACTGTAAGCATGATGAAATTGCAAATATATTTATCCCGAACATTTAACATTATGAATTAAGTTTGACTATTTAGCGATAATAACTTTAAAAACTCGCTTTTAAAGTGGGAAATAGTTTGAGAAATGTTTACAAATATTTTTAATGATTAATACAAGAATAAAAGTCTGTATAATATTGGATGCAAAGGATATGATAGGACTTTAAAAAAGTGGTTATGATATGAATTGACGCAATGATTGTTACTTTAATTAATTGTAACTCAAAAAGTGTCAGAAGTTTTTTGTGTGGTTTACACAACACTTGAGATATTGTTTCCACAGTTTATCCACAACTTCTCAAGCATTCAATGTATTTAAGAATAATAGCCTATTATATAATTATTTGGTTTTTGTATGTATTTTAATGTGAATTAAACATACAGTGAGTGCAACATATAATTACTATTGATTGTTATAATTGGCAAATCCACAATAATGAAGGTAATTTAGTCATAAATATAATACAGACAATGAAATGTAAAATTAATATTAGTTTAAGGGATGCGTTGAAGAGATGAAAGGGGAGTAAGTGATGGATGAGATGGTAAACGAGTGACTCTTGTATTGCCAGTGAATGAAACAAAACTTATTACAGAATGAACTCAAATAAAGTTTACGTCAAACGAAATGTGAGTTTCTATGGAAACGTCTAAATAGTAAGCCATTGAATGAAACGCTTGTATAAAAATCAATACATTTAGCGAAGAGTTAAGACATTGAAAGGGAGAGAGAGATAGAGAGACAGAGAGAGTGATAAACAGTCGTGAAAAATATGCCATCAATTCATGCGATAGTTATTATTGTTAATTGAATTGTGTTTTTAAATTAATAATCGGTTTATAACTAACTAATCAAAGATGTGTTTGAGTTGGCATTTATTGGTTGCCGTAATCTTGTGTTCACTTCAAGTGATCACATATTGTGTGGCAATAGATCTGTCATCAGATGAAGAGTCCATTGTATTCCCACTGCTTATGCCTGACGTCCAGCCAACACAGGTATCACTTAATCACATCCCTTACCATCCCTTACCATATGTCACATTCATTTGGTCTCAATTTACACACTAATTGCTGGCATTTAAATATCAAACCAATACTTTTGTTGTTATATAAGATTGTGTTTAATCTGATAACAAATAACAAATATATTTAATTTTATTTTTTAATTTAATGTTTTTATAACCAGTTTTCAGTAAAAATCGGTTAATATTTCTATTTCTTAATTAATTATGCCTTAAAAGTGTTGACAATATTTTTAAATTGTTGTCATTTGAAGCCTTCATTCATTGAAAATATTAGATTACATTAATTAGACATAAGATTATCATTACATTTA